ATTCACACTAATTACTGTGTCTTTTGCCATGCAGAAGCTTCTTAGTCTGATGTAATCTCACTTGTCTATTTTTGGGATTATTGACTGTGCTTTAGGGGTCTTATGTAAGAAGTCTTTCCATACCCCAATGTCTCCCATAGTTTCCCTAGTGTTTTCTAGAAGCAGTTTAATAGTTTGGGGTCTTAGATTTAGATCCTTGATCCACCTTGACTTGATTTTTGTCAAAGGTGAGAGGTAGGGGTTCAGATTCATCTTTCTACAGGTGGAAATCCAGTTTTTCCAGCACCATTTGCTGAAGAGGTTTTCCTTTTTCCACTGGATTGATTGGTACCCCTTATCAAAAATCTGTTGACTGAATGATTGGGAATCTATTCCTGTGGACTCAATTCTGTTCCATTGGTCCACATGTCTGTTCCTGTGCCAGTACCATGCTGTTTTGATCACCACAGCTTTGTACTATATTTTTGGGTCAGGGAGTGAGAGGCCACCCACTCCACTCTTCTTGTGCAGAATTGCTTTGGCAATATGGGGTCTTTTATTATTCCAGATGAATTTTATGATTGTCTTTTCTAGATCTGTGAAGAATGTGTCTGGTACTTTGATTGGCATTGCATTAAATAATAAAGTGATATTTTAATCCCACTTTTCCACAAACTTTTAAAAGTCCCCTCAAACAATATGTGTTTTACTACAGCAAAAAAAATTACTCTACAGTGAGAAATAATTTGCCAGAAGTCAACTAAGCTGGGGGAAGAAAATTCTATCCAAATTAAATCCTATCTAGCCATCTTGTCTGACCAAAGACGAAATAACATAATCATCAAGGTCAGACCTTCAAGAAGATAGATTAAGAATGTTTCACCCAAGAAAGAAAATAGGAGCAAGAGAAAAAAGAAAAAGTTAATCTACTGGAGAAACATTTGGGAAAGTTATAGCCTAGAGTAACGGACCCACTAAAACACTGAAATTAAATTGTAGGACTATGAATGCTTCTCCTTCCCCATACCTTACCACCACATTAACAGCTCTCCGGCTGAAAAACAACAGATTAAAGCAGAAAGAAAGCTGCAAAATGCAAACTTTACCTAAGGAGGAAAACCTAGGGAAGCCCATAATTAGCAGGAATTAGAAAAACTCAAGACATTGAAAAATATCCGAATCCTCTAGAACCTGTAATATACAACACAGTCAAACTCCTAGCCCAAATAATATAAAGTCTAGCACCAAAGTCCTCTTCACCTCCATTCTTATCACCTGATACATTATATTTGATGTTTAAGAAAAAATTATAAGGCCTACAAAAAGTCAAGAAAAAAGAACAATCTGTAAAGACAAAGCAGCACTAGAACCAGTCTCATCCATGAAACAAAGGTTGGAATTATCACACCATGAATGTAAAATAATTATGGTTAGTATGTTGGTTAGTATGTCCAGTAGAAAAAGTAGACAACATAACAAAACGTGGCTAATATGAAGAGAATTGAAATGTGCTTTTCTTATATTTATTTATTTATTTATTTATTTATTTATTTATTTTTACATTTCAACCACTGTGTATCATTACAGGATACCAAATGAATTTTGAACCAACTCAAATGTCCACAAACAAATGAATGGATTGAAAAAGTGTGGCACATATACACTACAGAATACTATTCATTCATAAAAAACAGTGAGACCCTAAAGTAAGCCAGACTACCAAAGACAGACTTTGTATGTCCCCACTTAATATATACTGAATATATGCGCTCTATGGCAGAAACTGTAAGATTGAAAGGTATAATAGCAGGGAGGATAGTTGTAGATACTAGAGATAGTAAGGATAGGGATAACAAAGGGAATGGGTAATAGAGAGAGGGAAGGAGAGGAATAGGTTAAAAAAAAAAACAGTATGTTTAATAGACAAAAAAATGAAAAGTTATTTGCTGATGATAATGTATATGGTAATGTCTTTGTCTTGACTGATATGCACTATATTCATGCTGGAAAAAAACCATATTGTACACTATAAATATATATATATAGTGATTAAACGTATATGTGTGTGTGTATATATATATATTTTTTTTTTTTTAATGAGACTGGCATTTGATAGAAAGTGGATGAATATGGAAGATTTACTGCTAAGCAAAGCAAGCAAATGTATAAAAGAGCTGGAAATTCTAAAAAGGGATTTAAAAATCTAGAAAGAAAAAAAAATACTATAAGAGAAATTTAATATTTTTTCAAGTTTATTTCTTCCGTGAGAAATGAGACACAGGTAGAAAGAGAAAGAGAGAAGGAGGCACCCTCAACAGGGTCTTCACACTGCAATCCTACCCCTAGACTCAGCCAGCCAGGATCACAACACC